TATGCAAACCATTGTTTGATAGGCTCAAGACTAACCCCTCATCTTGGTCTCCTACTCATACTGCCATAGTCAAACAAATCAAGTCTCATGTCAAGACATTATCCTGTCTTGGAATTCCTATAGTCAATTCAATCAAAATTGTTAAAATTGATGCCTCTGATATTGGTTACGGAGGTATTCTTAAACAATCAACTCATCTTGGTTCTCCTAAACAAATTGTTTGTTTCCATTTAGGAGTCTGGAATCCAGCTCAAAGTAATTATAGTACTATTAAAAAAGAAATACTATTTATAGTACTATGCATATCAAAATTTTAAGATGATTTGCTAAATCAAAATTTTTTAGTAAGAGTCGATTGCAAAAGTACAAAACATGTTTTACAAAAAGATGTTCAAAACATTGCATCAAAACAAATGTTTGCACAATGACAATCAATATTAAGTATTTTTTTTATTTCGAAATTGAATATGTAAGAGGCAGTCAAAACTACATTCCTAATTTCCTAACAAGGGAGTTTCTGCAGGGAAAGAATATCAGGACGAAATCTTGATCAAATGAAGCGTTATGCCTCTTTCAACCCAGTAAAAAAAAAGAATCAATCAAACAAGAGTCAGGCCTTGTACCTTACTCAGCCAGCAGTTCAGTAAACCGTTTTACTCCCTTAGGTTCTACCGTAGGGAATTTCCAACCAAACTATCAGTCAACCTTAGTCAATCCTTATGATCTCTACAAAACCTCAGCAAAACCATTTCAACCAATGAACAATTACAGTCAAACCTCCCCTTACATTCCAAAATCATTTAGTGAATATTTGTTTAGTTACCTGATAGGAGCATATTCATGCGACTTAAATAGCTTGTTCTCGTACATTTACGTTATGTTTCTTTAGTTATTTTAGTACTTTAAGCTATTTTCGTGTGTTTGTAGGTCCAAAGGGCTAAAGGAGCAAAAAGATGCATTTTGGAGACTTTTGGAGCACTTTTGGGCTAAGGACGGATAGCTTATGCTTGAAGCCAAAGTGTTGGACGAAATTGAAGACCTAATTGGAGCCAAAGTGTTGGAACCTTGTTCTCTTTAGTTTTAGGACATTTAAACCTTTCCTAATCCCAATCATGCCATGCATAACACACATCCATTCTAACACATTGTCATTGAACATGCATTTCCTTCATTAGTTAACCCACATGCACTTATCACTTATCATCACCACATATCATATCACTTAATCACTTATCACTTATCATCACCACTTAACCACTTATCATATCATAACCACATATCATATCACTTATCACTTATCACTTAACATAACATCCACCTACTTCACCTACAACATCCACTTCACCTACAACATCCACCTACTTCACCTACAACATCCACCCACTTCACCTACAACATCCACCTACTTCACCTACAACATCCACCCACTTCACCTACAACATCCACCTACTTCACCTACAACATCCACTTCACCTACAACATCCACCTACTTCACCTACAACATCCACCTACTTCACCTACAAATGACATAGCCATATGTTCCCTCCACTACTCCTATAAATACCCTTGCATTCATTCATTCATGAACATCTCATTTCATACACAACACATTACAAACACATTTAACCTTCCCTAGCCGTGAGCTTCCCATCTCTCCCCTTATAATCCAAACACCATTTTTCCATTCCCCTTCCACTTCTCCACCACTCCTCTTCCATTCCACACTTCCATCCCCCAAACCAATTATCCCTAGACCTTATGCTACAATAAAGAGGAAGAGAAGAGAGCCTAAACGTTCATACAATTCAAGTTTGAGTTGTTGGAATGTTTAGGCGTTTCTTTGATTTCAATGTTTAATTTCAATTCTCTTTGTTTTGTATGAGGAACTAAACCCCCCTTTAGCTAGGGGGTGATTCGAAATATATGTTTATGCTTGCATTTTGATTTGATTACTTCTAATTACGTTTCATAAGTTGTGAATTCAACTTGTTTAACTGTTTTATTGATAACCTATTTATGTATGTTTATTGAGAGTGCACACTTAATTTTCATGCATGAATTTGACGCTAGAATATAAGTGAATTTCACCTAATCGTTATGAACTTATATTCACAAGTAGTGGAGGTTGCTTATAAACAATCGCGTTAAACGAATTCTTGGCATAAGTTTCATGCGTATTCCATAGTAACGAATGTCTCGTCAAAACTTATAATCTTCATAGAGCGTAATGATTCTTGCTTGTATCTCTATTATGCAATCATGTAGGGGACTTGTGGGGAATGTTTTGGGTTGTCGTATGCAATCATCCAATTCAATAACGTTAGGAAGATTTGAAGGTTAATTTAAGCGGATCTAATTAACTTGGAGTGTTGAGAATTAATGATTTATTGAAATGCAATTGGAAATCATTTTATTATGCAAGTGTAACATGTGTGGAGATGAACCCCTTGGCTAGCATCCATTCATCCATACTTTCATCATATTCATATTTACATTCTGTCTAGTTTATTAACTTGTTTCGTTATTTCAATTTTTGTCAAGTCCTAAACCCCCCTTTACTTTCTTGTTCTTTAATGCTTAGAATCTGTTTAGTTTATGTTTTAAAGTATTTTTGAATTCTTTGAGTCTAGTATAGTGTTTTATATTGTGTTTTTACATTTTTGAGTCAAATCCAAGTGATTAACAATCCCTCCTAATCCCCGGTCCAGAACGATCCCTACTTACACTTATACTACAAATTGACAAAAAGAGGGTTTAATTTGTGTGCGTATAAATCTCGCATCATTACCCTCCAGATCTTATTCCAAACCTAACACCATCAAAGTTAGCCAAATTCTGGTTTCCCCTAAATTTCCACTACCAGCTAGAAGAGTTATACAAAACCCTTAGATTTTACAAAAGCATTCTCTTTGAAACTGAGTCAATAACCATTAAGCTCATCACCAGTCACACAGATGAAAACAATATCCTTTATCATAATTTACACATTGAAAAATCATGTCAGAAAAGGGATAGGGAATCCCCATTTACAAACACAAGTCCCTTCACACCCAACCACCCAATATTCAATACAATTATTATGATTATATCAATGCATGGACCAATATTTTCCTCTATTAGAAAGAGGATTTCAGTCACTCATGATTTATCAACTTCGACAAGAAATTTCAACCAATACTCCCAGCTTAGTTCTCCAAGTGGTAGTGAGTTCATGGCCCAATTGCTAGTCTCATCCCAGAATCACTCATGCAAAGAATCAACCATTTTCAGTCAAGGTTTATATATATATATATATATATGTATGTATGTATGTATGTATGTATGTATGTATGTATGTATGTATGTATGTATGTATGTATGTATGTATGTATGTATGTATGTATGTATGTATGTATGTATTGTTATAAATAGGCAAAAGTTAGAGAGATAACCTTTGCTAGAGATGGGAGCAAAGTGGGTGCAACGTATCACACTGTTTGTTTTCGTAACTATAACACAAAAGGATTGCAGGTAAAGAGAGGAAGGAAGAGATATTGATATTATTGCTTTCACTTCTTTTCTGTGTCTTGTGATCACACACATAATGCTGTTTATATAGAGCCACATCCATGAAGATTTACAAAAGTGAAATGAGTGCCTTATGAAAAACATCATACAACAGCAAGGCTACTATTCTAAAGTCTTCCTCACCTTTGGCTAAAAACATATGGGTATTCACTCCAACTTTTACAACACTCGCCCTTGGATGCCCACATTTCAACATTAGTTGCCTCGTTAAAACCTTGCTCAGAAAAACCCAGTAGGAAAAAACCATAACAAAGAAAAAAGAGTACAACTTTGCTTGGCTTGTTGATATAATGTTAAGTATGCTTATGTTGCCTCGTTAAAACCTTGATAGGAAAAACCCAGTGGGAAAAATCCTAGTTGAAGGAAAAAGAGTACAACATGCATGTATCATGGATGTTTCCCCTAATATGTATCTTCCCCTGATTCCACATTCTTCAAATTTTTGTGTCCCCAAAACTTATCACTTGAGCATAGGACCCGCAAGACATTTTTTGTGCTTTGTAAAGTTTCATACTCCCTATTCAAGGTGGTTATTTTGTTGAAATTTTGTTGATTGTTATGTGCTTGACACACAATTTGTTGCTTTCAATTATGAGTGTGTTCAAGTGTGTTGGGTTCTAACAAGTAATACTACTAACACAGGCAGACAGAGGGAAGGAGGTGGTGCGAACACTGGAACCCACCTTACTAATGAACCACAACAAATTGTGGTCAAGTGTTATTGCAGACCGAATTTGAAAAGAAATTGATGAAGGATGGAGTGAAGTTAGAGAGAAAGAAGTGGAAAACAACAAAGATCGATGATGGATGAGGGATGTGAAGATGGAGGGAGAACATGGTATATAAAACATATAATAGTTAATATAAGGACATAGAGTGGGTTCAATGACATGTAAGTTGGAAAGATCAAGTAAATCGGAAACGAGAATAGTGGGAAAACAGTAGCATGAAAAAACGAAGGGGAAAACAAAAAGAAGGAAGAGGCTACCATTGACCCTGGCCAGAGCCAGGGTTGGCGGTTGAATGAAAATTTGAAAAAAAATAAGGGATAACCTCACACAAACAATGAGAATCTCTCTCTCAGTGGGAGAGAAGGACTCTCACCGACTAGGGAACGAAAGTAAGGTTTTGACACAGTATTTATTAAGGCTTTTGCACACACGCACATTTTTTTTTCACATGTGAACTGTTGATGTGTAACGAATTTCAATTAGTTAAATTTGAATCGTGAAGTCGTGAGGAAAAAAGCCCAAAGTGTTTTGGGCCCAAACCCAAACAAATGGTACGTTATCAGACAAAACTCTGCCCTTTCTGAGTCTCCATCACCGGCCCTCTCTCTCCCCCCTCAAATCCCATCTTTCTTCTCTCAAGTCTTCCTCGATTTCTAGGGTTAGGGTTTTCCAATTCACTCTCTGTCGAGTGCATCACCAGAAATGGCGATGAGGAGATTCTACAACGAGATCAAGGGGTTGAAGGTGAAGGAATTGCCCGACCACATTAAGCCGATGCTGTCCGTCGATTATGCCAAGAAGGCTGTGCAGAGAGGCTTGGACAACTACCACGCCAAGTACATCCAGACCAGCTCCGTCGATCCTCTCCTCCATGTCTGCTTCGGAGGCATGATCTTCTCCTACCTCGTCGCTCTTCCCGAGGAGCGCCGCCACCTCGAGCACGCCAAGCACGCCAAGGAGCACGGCCATTGACCTCGATCATACGAATGGTATATTCCTAATATTTTTTAATTTTTTTAATTTTTATTCAATTTTTGGATTGTTTTTCTTCTTAATTTTATGGGTGAATGATTCGTTTGTTAAAAATTCGATAAATGTGGGTTTTTTGTTTTTCTTTCAATTGGGTCATTTTAAATTTTCTGATTACAGATGCAGTTTATGTTCCTTATTTATTTGTGGTTCAAAACGGGTTACCGGGTGATATTTATTTTATTTTGGGTTGTTGTGTGAGAACATTTCAATGTATATATTTTGGGTCAGTGGATGCTTCAATTTTGTATCTTTTCGTAAATATTTGTTGATTTGATGATGGGTTCTACTTGCTTGTCTAATCTAACCTAGTTTCTTATTTTCCTGCATTAGAGCCTGATTTAGGTTTGAACTGATTGGTTTAATTTGGGTCAGAGCTGTTAGGCTATTCCACATATCCCTATAAGACTTCAATGTATTCCTTACCGATTGATCTTCTGTTCACTTTGCATATAGTTCTAGGCTGGATTGAGTTTCAACCCCTTTTTAATGTATTTCTGTTCAAATTGGTCATTAACCTTTTTCTGAATGTAAAATTTTGGTATATTAAAAGAGGGCCAGAATTACAGGGCACAAATGTCATCATTTGGTATGCAATAACGTTGGTTTAGTTAGTACATTGAATTGGCAACATTTTTATCCTTCAACAACACTTTTGCAATTTCTTTTGAGTTAATACTATTAGGGTGTGTTTGTTGCACCGGACTGTGTTGGACTGGACTAGCTGCAGGGACTAAGCTGGATTGGATTGGCTTAGACTAAGCAAGATAAAAATAGGGAAGTGTTTGATGCAGTGCTGGACTAAATCTCGGACTAAAATATTTTAGTCCCAATATTTTATTTTTTCCATTTTGCAATGGAACTAGACTTTGTAATTTGCTAGTATCCTACAAAACTTTGCCGTATTACCCTTACCCTCTCCCTCTCTACAAAAAAACATCACACACATCACCCACAACCTCTGCACATACCAAACTGATTCGAATTTCACCTCCAGTTTTTTTCTGAAGTAATTTGTAGTTTGTAAAACCCGTGCCATTTCCGATGAGATCCAATCGATTAATATCGATTTCGAGAATTTGATCAAGCAAAGCCGGGTCAACTCGGCGCAACCCATCTTCAAATCGCAGCTCAGGAGGCTCTTTGACTAGCAGTTCCGAGTGTGCTTAGAATATCTTCTGCACAGGAGAAGCCGACTGCTACTAAGTCGTCGCCGCAACAGTTGAACTACAGTACCAGCAGGATGGAGCAACTGTCGCCATCGCGGCCGAGTTCGAGCCGAGCTTGAGCCGAGCTCGGATCCCGGCAGAGCAAAAAGAGAAGAAAGCGAGGAGAGAGGAGGGGAAGGGGGAATTGGCGAGGGGGAATGATGGTGGCTCTCGGCGTTTGTGAAAACATAGGAGCAGAGGAAGACACGAGGGAGTTAGTCCCCGCTAATCCCATGGTTCTCGACGGGTCTGCTAGCGAGGGAGTTAGTCCTCGTGAGTCCCTTCTAATCTCATTAAACTTAGTCCCGAACTGTTAACAAACACGGGACTAGACTACTACATAGTCCAGTCCAAGCCAGCGAAAGCTAGTGAGCTCAAACAAACACATCCTTACGTCTTTGCGAGCTTATCTTCTTTTTTTCTTTTTTTTTTAATTTTATTTTTTAACTCTTAAAAGCTGTCAAATATGAATATGGGTAGTTCTCTAATGTAAACAATCCCCTATTTAGGAAAAGAGCGGATAATAGTTTTGCCCCCCGGCACCTTCCCTTCACTCTCTATCCAATGAGTTGAGCTATTGGATAATTATCATGCTTTCAGTGTTTGTTAAAATAAATTGTTTTTGTCTATCATAATTAGAGGGATGAGTGAGTGCTGAGTTAACTAACCTTTCCTAGGTCCACTGAGTTATAAGCATTTTCCCTCCATCTATGAATGCACTAGTTGTGTTGGCATGAAACGTGGTTTCACAAAAATGATTGAAGACCATAAGCTAATAGGATGGAATTAACCTACCTTTGTTGATAACCATATTTTTTACTAGGCTATAAAATTTCTCTATGCTTTCTCTGATTGAGAGCTATCTACCATATGGCTTTCCCTGAGTGCCAATATATCATTGTTTGTTGTGCTACTGAATATTCTTCGCCTCTTGGTGTTTTTTTGCGCTTTGGTTATTAGGAAATGACATTTTGACTTTTTAATTTCTGCAGGTTAGTGAGGGCTTTGGGTGTTTCTCCGACAACACATGGTATCATTGTGATACAATAAAATTCTCTTGGCCGTGGGTATCTTACCTATTACTTCTGAAATTTGACCATTAAATGAGTTATCAGGAATAAACAACGTTTGTCATTATGCGGACGGTTACTGATTTTGTTATCCGAATGACTCTGTCTTGCTGCCTCTCACATTCTTATTGATGTTTTGATTGTCCTACTTTAGTGTTGGTATTCAGAGGCCTGCATATCTAACTGAATGCTAGTTTGGTTAGGTTTCTGAAAGGGCGTTTTCTTGTTGCCTCTTTTGCTACGAACACTTTTGATCTGAACGTGGTTGGCATGAATCTTTCGTTTTTATGCCTTCCTTGATAGGAAACTACTAAACCGTCGCATTCTTAGCAAATTTTGTGATAGTTGCTGGGTGTTATTGCACGACACTTGCATGCATACCAATGTTCTCAAGAGTAGGAAGGTAATAGTAGCACAAAATCGAAAGAGGGAAAGATGGATTGTTCTGGAGCGAAAAATTGTTTCGGAATAACTTGATCATGCACTCTTCCGCACTCTTCCAACTTGTTTTAGTCCGTTGATTCTCCTTTGAATAATTTGATCATGGCTAGGAAAAGCTAGTGCACGACGATGAAATTGAAGTGTGAAGTCACTCCATTCTCGTTAATGAAGTTGCTGCTGGGACACTCTCAATGCTTTTATTCTCGGCTTATTATTTGCATGTTTGTCAACAGAAATCCCACTCTCAAAACCTCCACTGGTTGAAGCTTTTAACGAAAAGAGCTTTACAAAATTTTTGTTCGATTTGAAAATATAAGTCAGAAAAGAAGCATTGCACTTATTCTTATACAGGCCCTTTATCCAAAGGGATCCTCATTTTTGGGTAAAAATGAGGATTTGTTGTAGGGGGTTCACTTCACATCGAATTTCAACGATCCGAATTGTTTGTTTTGTAAGCCTCAATTTGTAGATCATCGATACAAAAATTCAATTTAATTTGAAACCATTTATCTGTTTAATTATCATGATGAAGTTTTATTGTTTCTTATAGAGCAAAATGTTCGTCAATTTTTTTGAACTCAATTAGATATCACAAATATTTCTAATTGGTTAATATATTGCGAGAATGATCTATGAGGTTCAACTTGAAAAATAGACGAATCAGATCGTTTAAGTTCGATGTGGTGTGGACCCCACAACTAGTCACCATTTTTTCAAAAAAATGGAGAACCCTTCCTTTAAAGGTCCCACTGAATTCCAAAACATAATGAATGAAATATCAATCACTTTTTCATTGTTTACATTGATGATGTCCTCATTTATTCAAAGTCAATTGATGAACATTGGAAACATTTAAATATGTTCACCAAAATAATTAAATCAAACGGATTAGTCGTTTCATCTACAAAAATAAAATTGTTTCAAACCAACATAAGATTCTTAAGATACAACATCCATCAATCAACAATTGAACCTATAGACAGAGTCATCCAGTTTGCAGATAAATTCCCAAATGAAATCACTGATGAAACCTAATTCCGGAGATTTCTAAGATCATTAAATTATGTTGCAGAATTCTATCCAAAATTGAGAGAACTATGCAACCATTGTTTGATAGGCTCAAGACTAACCCCTCATCTTGGTCCCCTACTCATACTGCCAAAGTCAAACAAATCAAGTCTCATGTCAAGACATTATCCTGTCTTGGTATTCCTATAGTCAATTCAATCAAAAATGTAAAAATTGATGCCTCTGATATTGGTTACGGAGGTATTCTTAAACAATCAACTCATCTTGGTTCTCCTAAACAAATTGTTTGTTTCCATTTAATAGTTTGGAATCCAGCTCAAAGTAATTATAGTACTATTAAAAAAGAAATACTATCTATAGTACTATGCATATCAAAATTTTAAGATGATTTGCTAAATCAAAATTTTTTAGTAAGAGTCGATTGCAAAAGTACAAAACATGTTTTACAAAAAGATGTTCAAAACATTGCATCAAAACAAATTTTTGCACAATGACAATCAATATTAAGTATTTTTTTTATTTCGAAATTGAATATGTAAGAGGCAGTCAAAACTACATTCCTAATTTCCTAACAAGGGAGTTTTTGCAGGGAAAGAATATCAGGACGAAATCCTGATCAAATGAAGCTTTATGCTTCTTTCAACCCAGTAAAAAAATAAAGATTCAATCAAACAAGAGTCAGGCCTTGTACCTTACTCAGCCAGCAGTTCAGTAAACCGTTTTACTCCCTTAGGTACTACCGTAGGGAATTTCCAACCAAACTATCAGTCAACCATAGTCAATCCTTATGATCTCTACAAAACCACAACAAAACCATTTCAACCAATGAACAATTACAGTCAAACCACCCCTTACATTCCAAAATCATTTAGTGAATATTTGTTTAGTTACCCTCCAGATCTTATTCCAAACCCAACACCATCAAAGTTAGCCAAATTCTGGTTTCCCCTAAATTTCCACTACCAACTAGAAGAGTCATACAAAACCCTTAGATTTTACAAAAGCATTCTCTTTGAAACTGAGTCAATAACCATTAAGCTCATCACCAGTCACACAGACGAAAACAACATCCTTTATCATAATTTACACATTGAAAAATCATGTCAGAAAAGGGATAGGGAATCCCCATTTACAAACACAAGTCCCTTCACACCCAACCACCCAATATTCAATACAGTTATTATGATTATATCAATGCATGGACCAATATTTTCCTCTATCAGAAAGAGGATTTCAGTCACTCATGATTTATCAACTTCGACAAGAAATTTCATCCAATACTCCCAGCCTAGTTCTCCAAGTGGTGGTCAGTTCATGGCCCAATTGCCAGTCTCATCCCAGAATCACTCATGCAAAGAATCAACCATTTTCAGTCAAGGTTTATATATATATATATGTATGTATGTATGTATGTATGTATGTATTGTTATAAATAGGCAAAAGTTAGAGAGATAACCTTTGCTAGAGATTGGAGCAAAGTGGGTGCAACGTATCACACTGTTTGTTTTCGTAACTATAACACAAAAGGATTGCAGGTAAAGAGAGGAAGGAAGAGATATTGATATTATTGCTTTCACTTCTTTTCTGTGTCTTGTGATCACACACAAAATGCTCTTTATATAGAGCCACATCCATGAAGATTTACAAAAGTGAAATGAGTGCCTTATGAAAAACATCATACAACAGCAAGGCTACTATTCTAAAGTCTTCCTCACCTTTGGCTAAAAACATATGGGTATTCACTCTAACTTTTACAACACTCGCCCTTGGATGCCCACATTTCAACATTAGTTGCCTAGTTAAAACCTTGCTCAGAAAAACCCTGTAGGAAAAAACCATAACAAAGAAAAAAGAGTACAACTTTGCTTGGCTTGTTGATATAATGTTAAGTATGCTTATGTTGCCTCGTTAAAACCTTGATAGGAAAAACCCAGTGGGAAAAATCCTAGTTGAAGGAAAAAGAGTACAACATGCATGTATCATAGATGTTTCCCCTAATATGTATCTTCCCCTGATTCCACATTCTTCAAATTTTTGTGTCCCCAAAACTTATCACTTGAGCATAGGACCCGCAAGACATTTTTTGTGCTTTGTAAAGTTTCATACTCCCTATTCAGGGTGGTTATTTTGTTGAAATTTTGTTGATTGTTATGTGCTTGACACACAATTTGTTGCTTTCAATTATGAGTGTGTTCAAGTGTGTTGGGTTCTAACAAGTAATACTACTAACACAGGCAGACATAGGGAAGGAGGTGGTGTGAACACTGGAACCCACCTTACTAATGAACCACAACAAATTATGGTCAAATGTTATTGCAGACCGAGTTTGAAAAGAAATTGATGGAGGATGGAGTGAAGTTAGAGAGAAAGAAGTGGAAAACAACAAAGATCGATGATGGATAAGGGATGTGAAGATGGAGGCAGAACATGGTATATAAAACATATAATAGTTAATATAAGGACATAGAGTGGGTTCAATGACATGTAAGTTGGAAAGAAAGATCAAGTAAATTGGAAACGAGAATAGTGGGAAAACAGTAGCATGAAAAAAGGAAGGGGAAAACAAAAAGAAGGAAGAGGCTACCACTGACCCTGGCCAGAGCCAGGGTTGGCGGTTGAATGAAAATTTGAAAAAAAATAAGGGACAACCTCACACAAACAATGAGAATCTCTCTTTCAGTGGGAGAGAAGGACTCTCACCGACTGGGGAACGAAAGTAAGGTTTTGACACAGTATCTATTAAGGCTTTTGCACACACGCACATTTTTTTTCTTCACATGTGAACTGTTGATGTTTAACGAATTTCAATTAGTTAAATTTGAATCGTGAAGTCGCGAGGAAAAAAGCCCAAAGTGTTTCGGGCCCAAACCCAAACAAATGGTACGTTATCATACAAAACTCTGCCCTTTCTGAGTCTCCATCACCGGCCCTCTCTCTCCCCCCTCAAATCCCATCTTTCTTCTCTCAAGTCTTCCTCGATTTCTAGGGTTAGGGTTTTCCAATTCACTCTCTGTCGAGTGCATCACCAGAAATGGCGATGAGGAGATTCTACAACGAGATCAAGGGGTTGAAGGTGAAGGAATTGCCCGACCACATTAAGCCGATGCTGTCCGTCGATTATGCCAAGAAGGCTGTGCAGAGAGGCTTGGACAACTACCACGCCAAGTACATCCAGACCAGCTCCGTCGATCCTCTCCTCCATGTCTGCTTCGGAGGCATGATCTTCTCCTACCTCGTCGCTCTTCCCGAGGAGCGCCGCCACCTCGAGCACGCCAAGCACGCCAAGGAGCACGGGCATTGACCTCGATCATACGAATGGTATATTCCTAATATTTTTTAATTTTTTTAATTTTTATTCAATTTTTGGATTGTTTTTCTTCTTAATTTTATGGGTGAATGATTCGTTTGTTAAAAATTCGATAAATGTGGGTTTTTTTTTTTCTTGCAATTGGGTCATTTTAAATTTTCTGATTACAGATGCAGTTTATGTTCCTTATTTATTTGTGGTTCAAAACGGGTTACCGGGTCATATTTATTTTATTTTGGGTTGTTGTGTGAGAACATTTCAATGTATATATTTTGGGTCAGTGGATGCTTCAATTTTGTATCTTTTCGTAAATATTTGTTGATTTGATGATGGGTTCTACTTGCTTGTCTAATCTAACCTAGTGTCTTATTTTCCTGCATTAGAGCCTGATTTAGGTTTGAACTGATTGGTTTAATTTGGGTCAGAGCTGTTAGGC